TGTCTTTCTTATGCTGAGGGCTCCAGAGCTGGACGCAGTACTCCAGGTGGGGTCTCACCAGAGCAGAGTAGAGGGGCAGAATCACCTCCCTCGACCTGCTGGCCACGCTGCTTTTGATGCAGCCCAGGATACGGTTGGCCTTCTGGGCTGCGAGCGCACATTGCTGGCTCATGTGCAGCTTTTCATCCACCAGTACCCCCAAGTCCTTCTCAGCAGGCTCGCTCTCAATCCCTTCATCCCCCTGTATTGATACCAGGGATTGCCCCGACCCACATGCAGGACCCTGCACTTGGCCCTGTTGCAACTCATGAGGTTCACACAGGCTCACTTCTCCAGCTCGTCCAGGTCCCTCTGGACGGCATCCTGTCCCTCAGGCATCTAAACCCTATGGACTTTCAGAACTGAAAGCTGTGAAAATTAAGGTGCCCATGAACACATGTGCCTTTACTTCCATTTAGTGAGAGTTCTCACATGAAAAATTGGAGGACCTGGCTGCAACTGAGCTAACAGTTTTACCCTTTTCTACCACCTACAGAGAAGGAGTATTAGCAGACTATAAGGTAGTATCATAGCTAATAATATAAACATTTGGAGGAACTGATTAATTCACCCGACCCCCAATACAATAGTTATAAAGCTTTAATATGTTAACATTGTCACATAAAACTATAAAGCATTGTTGTACAACTTCTTTCAGTTGTAGGCTTGCAAAGGACAAAAGCTATTTTATTTTTTTAATCTAAAGCTACTTGTTTATTTTACTAATCTTGCTGCTTCTACCAGCCTGGCTAGCCTGGGTGATAAAAATAAATCTACCGAGGATATACCTGAATATTTTCTTATTACAGACTTTGTCAATGCATGCTTTCAGCCACTGTGATTTTTAGTTCATCCAAAGTCAGCCAGGAGCAGTAATGATTCACATTTTAATTGTTTCTCCAAGACATTAAAAAAAAACTATCTGAAAAAGCCAGCACTTCAAGACTGCACCATCCTTTCCTGCACACTCATCTTCCAAACTCCTAACCAATTGCATCCATTATCAGAATAATTTCCTTAAGATTAAAAGGAAAAAAAAACCCACCACCCAAACAACATAGCTTAGATTCTTCCTGCTGTAGTTTTAACTGAGTTTCACCTGCTCAGTTCTAAGCTGACAGGCGAAACATACACATCCTCAAGTGCAACCAAAAGCTCTACACGCACATAAGAACTTCACAAGAAGTTCACAAGAACTTGCACCTTGGCCAAACTCCATCCAAACCGGCACATCAATGTCGTGACAGTGAACCACCTCAAAAAAGTGGCTCCAAAGAGAAAAGTCAGTGCTCCGGGATCCTTTCCCACACAAGTGGCTAAGCTATTGTTAGATCTGGTCCGGCTCCATTATTTTTACTGTGGTAGTCCAAGTAGTTGATACTAGCATTGTAAGTGATGCTCAGTCCAAGCCAGTGACAGGCTTCTGCACTAGAGTAAGCCTACATCTCCTCCCACCTTTGAAATAGGTACAGGGTAGGGAAGACAGGACTTTGAGGTGCAGGGCTTGATCATGCTCAATGCTTCTCAAGAATGGACGTTACATATGCCTTTGAAAATGCATGGTATCGCTCAGTCCCTGTCTCCCCAAATATGTTCCTGTCCTCTGGCTTGGGAGTGTAACATCATAGCAGCATCCTGCATGTTTAGTGCTTCTGTCTGTACCATGTCTGTTCTCTGGGTCTTACAGCCTAGCCACTGGGGAATCCTAAATACACAAAGTCTTGCATCTTGTGCATGGCAGAGCTTTTTGAGATGCTACATTTCTTAGAAGACAACAAAGCAATGCTCTCCGCAATTCAGCATTTAAAGACTAGTCCAACTAGGACTCCAAGGGAAAGGACAGGAAGGACTGAGCAGGCAGGGTGGCAGCAGCCAGTAACCATGCTGGCTCAGGCTGCCGCAGAACATCTATCTCGGTTCCTTGAATCTTAATGTCAGTTAAGCAAAGAGTTGTCTGACTTAGCTGTTGAGTAACTTCAACAATCAGAAGGAGATCAGCAGGTCATTTACCCTATAATCTGGAACACTTGAAGCGATGCAAGACACAGCTATTATTTTCATGAGAAAATGAAAATTAAATTTAATGAAATTTCATTCTATAGGGAGACTCAACAAGAAGTCATGGCAAGCGTTGAATCTTGCTCTTGGATAAAGGTGGGATGAGGACAACACTTCTCTAACCACCACAGGCTAAAAGAGGTTCCTTTATTCAGGTGCCTTCACAATAATGAGGTCTCAGTTTCAATTACACTGTAGGAATCAAGAAGGAAGCACTAATTCACAGAAGTATTAAATCTGCCTTTTGGCTCATTTCATGCCAGAACCATTAACTTTATGAACTTTTTTAGTGTGTTCAAAGGATAAGGACTGGATCCTTGAAGTACAACCACCATCCAAATAATAAGACACACTGGTAAAAAAACCCAAAAAACTTAGTTTAAACCAGACCTAGTTCTTTCAACTTCATGGAAGCATGAAAGGGGTTTTTTTCAGTTAGAAGGTATAAAAATTTGAGAAGAAGCATAAAGAAGAATGTGAGCCATCCAAGGACAAGATCAGGAAACTCATCTGAGGTGTTAAATTCCTCAGAAATAAGAAGATACAAGGTACCAACCAGTCAGTGAAGAATCTGCTCAGCTTCTAAGAACAGGGTAGAAATGTGGATTTGAACAAACATGCTTTCCATTTCAAGTGTACTTCACAATTAAAACAATTCCAAAAACAGTTAGTAAAGATTCTCCCTTCTTTGATTTTAGATGTGCCTCAGCCTATAGGTAGGAAGAAATCACTGTGTGGCAAGAGGTATTTCTTTCAAAGATTTCCTTTCTTAGCATAAATTTCACAACCTGATATTTACATGCAGTTTCTAAAGAGGGTTCTCTGATCGGAGGCACATAATGATATTTCACAGGACAGATGCAAAGGGGACGATATCAACAACTTTATATAAAGCTACACCATGTTTGCCACACTATATTGCCTGCATGGCTAGCAGGTAGAGTCAGAGTTTAAAACTCACCTGCTGAAAAAGAATGCTAACAAATGTAGGAAATAGAGCCACATAATATTATTCTTCCTTTAAAAGTGACAAATACCAAAGTTCCTTCACGAGATATCAGTTTATCATGATATACCAAGTGATGATTGTATCTTTTCTCCCCCCTGTAATTCCTGTTTCCAGACAACTTGAAGTTGAGCAATAAAATGATTAATACATAACTGTCCTGGATATAGTTCAACATATATCTTAGAAGTCAGTTCATGGCACAGAGAGAGAGAGAGAAATGAATGGCAAAGCAATAAAATGATCAAATGTTATGAGTGTTCTTTATGCATCTGTGCTCAGGGGAGTAGGTTAATACATCTTGAAAATAAAAACTAGAGGCACAAAAAATTAGAGCATTGTCATTTCCATTTCAATATAGTATTTCACATATTGTGAGAGCAGCAGACATGTAACTCATAGCCAGCAAGCCAGTCAGATCAGAAGTACAGGTCAAGTGATGGTCAGTCTCATTAGAAGATTCTAATATGCTCCACAAAATATATCCAGGCTTCAGACCTGCATTACAAAAGGGGTGGGGAACACATTGCAGGACACTACTATTTAAGTGCTTTCTGGTTTCTGAAAAGCAAAACAAAGAACATAGGCATCAATCAACTCCAAGGAGGGATTTTTGGATTTAAATAAAGTTCCGTATTTACTCTGTTTCACAGAAGTTGATCGGCTTAAACTAATCCACTTCTTGACTTTCCATTGGACCAGATACTTGAAGTGAGTCATAAAGTGTGTTTAGAACACTGGTATATATCAGGAACTATCCCACAGTGAAGCCAACGTGAACTAAAGGCAGTCAGCAATTGCCAGGAGGCACTCAACACCTTACCAGACAGAACAGACATCATAAAAGAAAGATGGTAAGAGTCTGCATTCTCATCTCTATTTTGAGCTGGAGACGAGGCAACCACATCCTCTGCAATGTGCCTGTGGAAAATGTTGGCTCCTGAACAGCACTGACATAAGCTCCCAAGCCTAAACTCCATTTTGATTTGAAGTGAACACAGCTCTACCAAAAATGAAACATAATTTGCTCTTTCCTGATACGATCTTCTTTCAAAAGCCAACCCATGGCCCCTAAAAAAGGGTGAACAAGTACAGATCTTTCACGGATGTTAATGGGAGGTGGGACATGAGCTGGGAGATCTGATCTTCCCAACAAAAAAGGGCCAGAGGTTATGCTGCTGCTGCCTTTAAGTGATGAGGGCAAGGCTCAAGACCCTTTTCCCCCTGTGCTATGACACCACTCACTCAATGTCCCAGGCATGGGCCAGGTCAACCAGCCACACCCAGGGCTGGGGGGTGAGAGAGGGGCTGCAGCAGCACAACGCGTGTCCCAGCCATGCGGGAAATGCAAGGTGTGATCCAGTTATGTGTCTCATGCTCACAGCAAAGATCACAGAATCACAGAATGGTTGAGGTTGGAAGGGGCCTCTGGAGGTTACCTTGTCCAACGCCCCTACTCAAGCAGGGACACTTAGAGCCGGTTGCCCAGGACCAAGTCCACCTAGGTTTGGAGTATCTCCAAGGATGCAGACTCTACAACCCCTCTGGGCAACCTGTGCCAGTGTTTGATCATCCTCATGGTGAAAAAGCATTTTCTGATGTTCAGATTGACTTTCCCCATCAGGTACTTATACAAGCTGGTGGGCTTCCCTGAACCTTCTCTTCTCCAGGCTGAACAGTCCCAGCTCTCTCAGCTTCTCCTCACGTGAAGGATGCTTCAGAACCTTCATCATCTTTGTGGACCTGTGCTGGACTCACTCCAGTAAGTCCATGTCTCTCTTGCACTGGGGAGCCCAGAACTGCACACAGCACCACAGATGGGGCCTCACCTGTGCCAAGTAGAGGGGAAGGATCCCGATCTGCTGGCAACACTCGTCCTAAAGCAGCCCAGGATGCTGTCGGCCCTCTTTGCCACGAGGGTGCCTTGCTGCCTCATGGTCAGCTTGTTGTCCACCAGGACCCCAAGGTCTTCTCTGCAAAAGTCGCTTTCCAGCCAGTTGGCCCCCAGCCTGTACTGGTGCAGGGGCTTACCCTCAGATATCCCCGGATGCAGGACTTTGGATTTCCCTGTGTTGAACTTGATGAGATTCCTCTGTCCAGCCTGTCAAGGTCCCTCTCAATGGCAGCACAACCCGCTGGCTCACCAGCCGCTCCTCCCAGTTTTTTATCATCTACAAACTTGCCGAGGTGCACTCTGCCCCATCGTCCAGGTCATTAATGAAGATGTTGAACAGTACTGGCCCCAGTATTGACCCCTGGGGTATACCACTTAGTGACTGGCCTCCAAGGACCTTGTACCACAACCCTCTGGGCCTGGCCATTCAGTTTTTAATCCACCTCACTGCCCACTTATCTAAGCCATACCCTGTCAGCTTGTCTATGAGGATGTTATTGGAGACCATAACCTTACTAAGATGAAGGCAAACAACATCCACTGCTCTCTCCCTTGACCACCAAGCACGATTTCCCCTTTGTAAATCCATGCTGACTACTTCTGATAACCTTCTTGTCCTTCACGTGTTTGGAAATGCTTTCCAGGAGGATTTTCTTCATCACCTTCCCAGGGCCTGAGGTGAGGCTGACCAACCTGTAGTTCCCTGTATCTTCCTTCCTGCCCATGGAGATATCAAACTGTTCAGAATGGCACACTTCCCTTCTGTACCTCTCAGGCTAGAGAGGATAGGGAAGGACTGGACAAGAGTGATAAAATCCCTTTCCCTGTGCTATAAAATGCTACTTGAAGTGTTCCCTGGAAACGCTGTTCCTTTTTTAAAATCAGCTCTTTTCCTCCCTGTTTCTTCTTGTCCCTGTTGAAGAACAAGCATCTGAAGTCCATTGGTCATTGATTACACTCAGTAAAAAACAAGGAAAATGTGTACCAAGACTTCAAGGAAGTCAATCTTCCACTGCAGGAAAATTCAACACCTTCTTAAGGAAAGGAGAGGAATCATGACTTTGTATTATGAAGAGATTATATACAGGAGGAAGATCCAACTTCCAATTACTCCCAGGGCATATGCACACTGGAGAAAAGGTCCGTGACATGAGGCCCAGATGCCGTTGTACTCCTCATTTCAGATGGTTTGGATTCCACCTAGCTCCCTGCACTTGGTCTTGGCTGGCTGTAGTTCTGCAGATGCAATTAGTTTACAGACAAAGCTCAGCTCCAAACATCCTAGCTTCACAGGAGTGGACTGGACATGATGCTGGGACCAAGAGCAAGCCAGCAACACAATCCTCAGCCCCTCTGGCAGCTAGATCCTGTGAAACTGCCCCAGAGCTGCCTGCATCTCAGGACTAATAGGCTGGACTCCCCTTCACTAACACAATCGTGCTGGAGGGTACCAGCAAAGATGGAAGAACCTGGACCAAGCCGGCAAGTTCAAAGCAGCTTACTAGAGAATCACCTGCTCCAAGGAACGAGCAGGCAGAAGAGATTACAGATACAATTTTCCTCACTAGTGCCCTGAGGGTAATGAAGGAAACATAAGAAAGGACTTGTTTTGCCCTTCATGTACCCATAGGCCAGCTGGCACAACTAAGCATTTTCTGATCATGTGGTAGAGGACTGTAGTTTGTCTAACCACAGAACAATTTTATAACCCAAGAATCAATCTGTGCAAGTGCTTTGTATGATCTTTTTCTACTGTCCTGCTTCAATGGATGTAATAAATAAAGCTCTGGCTTTATTACCAATACTTAATTCTTTTGTAACATTTGGAGAGAACTAAATTTTCCTCAGACACAGCTACCTGCACAAACGTAAATCCAGCATGATCTCCAATATTGACAACAACCTACTCTAAAGGAAAGCCTAATGTTCTGAGCATGAGATACATTTCCATAGACAAACACTGACACAACAAGGGAGGAATTGAATGTCACTGGCTCTTGAATTCTGACCCCAGTTTTGTAACCATCTTACTGTCTGAACTTCAGTAAATCATGTATTTCGCTGCTTCAGCTCCCCCATTCGCCAAATGAGGGCTAATAAAGACTTCACATGCATTGTGTTAAAGTTTTTCACCTTCAAAACACTTTAGGCGTGTAAAATAAGGCAAAAATGTTGAGCACCGCTAATAAACCTCTAGGTCAAGATGATTCTTTTCCTTTATAGTGTGAATGAGAATAGATGCCCACTAAAAAAAAAACAAACCAAAAACCACAGCCCCTCTCCCCGAAAAAGCCCAAACCAACAATCAACAGATCACAGATGTAACAGACAAGCATGGGTGAAAATATGTGTGGGAATGACCCTAAAACATCCGAGGAGGAAGCCACAGAACAAGTAAAACAGTAGGAAAAGGTTGGTTGGGGGTTGCTTTTTGGTGGATTTGTTGCCATTACACCACACAAGATAAATAAAAATGAGAGTCCTAGCTCACTGTAAAATGGGAATTGGTATTTATTCCTGACTGTCACTTATTTACTTACAGTAGACTTTGATATCATGTGTTGCAAAAAAACCACCACACACAAGACATTGCAAATAAACTGTTTTCTAACTGGAAGCACAATCTTTAATGCTAAGGCTACTACTCATCTTCTTGACCATTCCTCACTGTTCTGTACCACACATTATCACTTGCCCGTACCCAGCTGTTCTTTCACAATTCTATTAATGACTGCGAAGTAAGGGTTATCCTTTCCCACTGTGCCTGTACAAGACTCCATGCAGTGGTGAGGTACTGGGTGTGGCTAGGATAGACTTAACTGCCTTCACAGCAGCTCGTATGGCGCTGTGCTTTGCATGTGTCGTTAAAACAGTGTTGATAACACATCTGTCTTTTGGCTGCTGCTGAACAGTGCTTGCACAGCAGCAAGGCTTTCTTTCTCTCTTCTCCCTCCCCTCACCCCAAAGCAAGTAGGTTTGCAAGTGGGCAAGACGTTGGGAAGGGACACAGCCAAGACAGCTGGCTCCAGCTGACCAAAGGGATATTGCAGACCACATGATGTTGTGTTCAGCAATAAAAGCTCAAGAAAAGGAGGTATAAGGGGAAACATTCGTGGTTATGGCGTTTGTCTGCCCAAACAACCATTACACATGCTGAGGTCCTGCTTTCCAGGACCATCTGCTTGCTGATGGGGAGTAGTGAATGAATTCCTCCTTTTGCTTTGCTTGCATGTGCAGCTTTTGCTTTCCTTATAAAACTGTCATTATCTTGATCCATGGGACTTTTCGCCTTCCTTCTATTTTCTCCCCATTCTGCAGGAGAGGGGAGTGAGTGAGAGGCAGGGTGGGTGTTTGGCTGTTGGCTGGGGTTAACCTACTGCAGGTGGCCTACTCCTTGCCTGGGATTTCTAGCTGCCGCAGTAGTACAAAGAACAACATTAAAAACCTTCATTGCAGAAAGGAACTGAATGTGGTTTTTGCAAATCCGAAGACCATACCCTGAACTGACAGGCTGAAACCACTGTGTTACTGTATAACTTTTAGCTATGGATAATAATTTTCTTTTTCTATATAGAAATAAGACGTGAAATGCCAGCTAAACTGCAGGGAAAGATAATGTCGATAAGAAGCAAAATTGCCTCAAGGTGCCCAGTTCTAGAGAAACACTGTAACTCTTATCTCAAAGATTTACCATAATACTGTGACATGCACATTGTCATGTATAATCCACCCAGCACTGCATTATCTTTTCATTTAATTATTTTGCCATGCAATGTACAACCACTTTCTTGCTTTTCTCAGAATATTTTCTTTTCTTTCTTGACTGTACTCCCCTCTACTACATTCTCCCATAAGAAGCTGTACTATGACTTTTTGTCTCCAGTGTTTCCTTTCCTTTTCTTCTGCTCTTTATTCCCCTTTCCTCTTCTTTCCCTGCATCACACTCCGTATTTCTTCTCCTTTATAACTCTCATTCTCTCCCATCCAAATTTCCCTCTATACATGCAAACACACCACAACTCCCTCTTTTAATGTTTCCTAGCTATCCTCCCTACTCCCTTGCATCAGGACATACATTGTAATTAGCTAACTAAAAATTAGCACCATTTAGGGGAAAAAGGTCAGGGGACAGGATTCAGCACGGTACTTACACCTGTACAAAGACTGTAGGCAGCAGCTCTGGTTTACCAGTCTCCAGTTAGTAACTGGCAATACCTGAAAGTGCTTTTCCTTTCCATCCTTCTCTGACAATTTAACCCTCTAGAAGACAGAAACAGCTTCCCCCCCACCCCGGATGCGGTAAAACAGCATTGACAGGAGAGTTTTTCCATTGCACTTGCTGGAGCACCGATGAACCTTTGTACTGCATTAATGTCCCTCCTCCTGAATCTGAAAAGAGGGCGACCCTGAGAACTATCCATGAAATTGGTAAAAACTGGTTGATTTCCACTCTCTTAAAACTTATCCAAGTTCTAGTGCAAGCAATAGTACAGAAACTGTCTGTCTACAGATTTGGAGCAAGGGACAGCACTGACTCATATCCAAATTTATCACAGCCTTTTTAAAAAAACAATATAATAAGAGCTAAATGCTTTTTGTATTTGAACGAAAAAAAGGTCAAAGTTTCCAGCTTGTGACACCAGCCAAGATAGTAAGCGGAATTTTCCATCCCTAAGTGAGCCAATCAGGATACCATGCCCTGGAGAAATGTCACTGACTGCAGCTGTACATTTCCGAATTTTACACCTCAACACAGTGAAGCAACATCCATATATTATTAAGTACATATTTCTGGACAGAATAAAACAAATTTTTTAACAGCTTCCCAAAACAGAAAGATAAACGAAGAGCAGGCCAAGGTTACAATTGTAGTTCATGCAAGACTGGTTCTACTAATTTAAGCAACAACGTTGACTGCTGCTGTAATCGAGATTTCCTTCTTCCAGGGCGGTCTTGGAAATGTGAGCTGTAACAGCCAAACCCCTACTAGAAAAAGATAAAAAACCCAGTCCATTTAAAACTTCACTAATGACAGATGAAATCAGCTGCCTTCAAGTGCATGGTTCTGTGAAGCAGTCAGTCTTTGGTTGCACAATAATCTCTCAGCCCCTGCGTCTGGGCAGATTTCCTTCTTGTCTGGCTGCTTTGCTAAAATAAGGAGGCTGCCTGGCCTCTGATAAATGACTTCTCTTGTGCACCCCCATCTGCAGGCTATTTATTGAAGATAAAAATGGTGGGAGGGTGAGAAAAGGCAAAATAATCTTATTCAGACCCTCTACAACTCAGATAAGAGGACAATCCTAAGTACAAGCAAGTGGTATTCTTTATCAATAAGAAGTTATCTATCTGCTCAGGCACAGGCCTCAGTGGTAGAAAAGGATGTGGGATAATCACAGAACCAGCATATGAATGACATTATTAAAGAGCCCTTGTTACAGGGTGTTAGCCATGACCATTAAAAAGGCAGTTCTTTGTAACGACTAGCTACAATTAAGTCCTGCCTACCACTGATCACAGTGTATGCAATACTTCAATCCCACCACGGCCAGCTTAACTAGCTCCCCGCCTCAGTCCCCACAGCTGCCTGCACCACCACTGCACCATACTGAAAGACACCATACAATCCTGTACGTTATTAACTGAAAGCTGAGGACTTTACAGTTATATGGCAAAAAATATGCTATATTCTCATCAGGCAGTGAATTAACTAAAAAAAAAAAACCCACAAGTTCGTTACCAACAACCACCTCATAATTTTCTTTTCTCTCCAATCCAATATTAACAGATTTGTTTTAAAAATCAACTTAAATTTAAAACATTTCAACTGTAAAAGCATTATCAGTAAGTTTTTCCAATCTACATAAAAGATGCACACACAACACTCAAAATACTGCAAAAATCTAAGTGATAATTGAGTAATATTGCACAAGTGCCATATTCAAGTCACAAAATTCCCAAAATACATAAAACTCATTGCAAAACAGCATTAATGGCGCAGCTGACTGTTAGCATGTCTGCAAAGGATAGGAACAGAATTTTAAATACAGCAAATGCCCTAGCAGGGTTTTAACTCTGGGAAACACAGCTGCTTTCCCTCTAACTCTCAAAGAAGTACTTACGTGTTTCTAGACACCTGCAATGACTGCAGGCACTACTCTGGACAAAGCCAGGAGACCCCTATACTTTGCGAGCATGTAGCTTGTCCATCTATTAATAAGGAATTACTTCTCTGTGCAGGCAACAGCCCCCATGTAACAGGTAGCCTGCCACCCACTCCAGTGGTCTCTCCCGCCTCAAATCAAGTCATAATCCCCAAATCATAGATGAACCTGCTGTTTCAGGTAAGAGCAGGGACACATCTTCTACAACCGGTTTTCTCTGCAGATGCACAGATACAATCACTGGCTCAGCCTGTGCTCTCTGCCCTCCTCCCAGGTAAGGTACTGGTTGTGGTGCTCATTGGGAACCTGCATCCCACACCACCAAGCCAATTGCCCATTTAGAAAAATACTACCTGATTGCTGCAAAAAGCACGCATGCACGTGGCTTCTGCTGTAATTCACTCCATTGTAGAAGACCATCTATCTTGCATGGTAGGGAGAATCCTTACCTCACAACTCAGATTATAAGAAGTAAAAAACATTGTAAGAGACTTGAATCTCCAGAGTCCTCTAGTAAAAAGTGGACGATCTGGTGATAGCAACCAAAAATGTAGGGATTAATATAACCAAATCTCTGCAGATCCGGAAGTTGCACAGCAAGCTGTGATTGTTGCTTCTCTCCTCTGCAAGGCAAGCACTTCCAACATCTAGATCCTCCTGGAAAGCCATGTTAACTGTTCTCTCGGTCTGGTAAACCCGAGTTGGACAGAATGACAGGAGAAGACAGTCCACAGTGTGGGTAGGTTTGTGTAAACGGAGAAAGACTGCCTCAAGCACACAAGGTGCTTCTGAGGCAAGAAAAAGAAAAGGACCAGGAAGAGAAGAGAACTGTAGGCCAACAAAAGTGGGTTTGGTAGAACCTAAAAATTGAGAGGTTTGAGCTGTCTTAAGGAATAGCAGAAAAGTGGCTCTCGATGGCAGAAAGGATTCCAACAATGATGTACAGGAATATATATGCTCATGGAGGTTCAAAGACACCTAAGGTATGTAAACATTGCTGGAAAACTTTGTCCTTTGAGGCTGTTGCTGCAAAAGCAGCAACAGAGTTCACCAACCCTGGGTCTGGAAAGGGAGCCCTCCTTGGGGGCAGGAGATTGCCCACCTCACCTGCCATACTTCCTTTCAGTCAGCTGGGAAGAAGAGCTCCTTGTAGGAGCAAGGCACCTCTGAAACCACTGCTCTGAACCATTCTCAGATATATTGTTTGGGTTGTTTGTATTGTTTGCCCTTTAAATAAAGTCCCATATTGTCAGTAATATACAATATAGAAAGAGGTTAATCCTCACTTGTGAGCTATAGAGCTCTTGTAGATAAAGTTCATGGCTGTCTAAAAATGGATTTACCAACCATGCATGGCAATACCACCTACAGAGAAGGAGCCCACGTTGGCTGGCCAGCCAAGCCTGGCTCAGACTGGCTGGCTGCTTGAAGCCCGGGGTACACAGTGTTCATTATTAACAATCACTTGCAAACTCTGCACAGCAAGCTGCAAAGTTTCCCCCTTGACCTGGATATCCAATACATATCTAACAGCATACAGCTACTTAAAACTCAAATAGGAACATATAACACAAAACGAGTACCTCATGGCAACAATCATTCTAGTAACCTATCAAACATCTAGTTGATGCACAAAAAATAAAAAGCATATGCAATCTCATCTTCCTGAAAGTTGTTACTGAGATAAGGAATAGCTTGCGAACCGCTCAGTGAAGTCTCAGTGCCTATGCCTGCTAACCCTCAGCAAGCAATCTGTTCATCACTCGCCCTTACAGATGCTGCTCACAACACAACCCGTTCTCATTGTCTGAGGCATTTATTGCTTGAGTGATTCAAATCTTCAGTTAACACCTGCCATATCTCTCCCTGCCCCAGAGAACACCACACCGACATCTGGCAGTCGCACAGACAGCAGTTAAAAAGTTCTTATCTGTCATCTCCAGCAAAGGCTTTGTTAGCCATAGCAACGGAGTCTTGAGCAAGGTCTCCTCAAATAAGAGGAGAGGACTTGTTTACATCACCGAAGTCCACGTTGTTAGCTGTGCTGGCACATCATAATTTTTATCAGGAAAAAACAGGTGAGAGTTCCCAAAAATGCTAACGTCATGACAATTTCCAGACCAACTGGCATCATCATAACCTGGCTGCTGGATCAGGCTGGGCCTTAGCACACAAAAGAACGACCTTTTCTAAGTGCAAGCACTTGATGCTTGGCAAGGTGCCAGAGAAGTGAAGGGCGATGAATGAGGGGGAAAAATGAGAAGAGATGAGATTCCCCAGTGGCACTGTCACAGCTGACAGCTTTCAGTGACTGCCTGGAGACTGGCAGGCCTCTCAAACACGCTGCAACAGCACCCCTGTGTCTACTAGGAAGCTTCACTCAAGCAACCTGTGAAAGGCTCAATTAGCGAGCAGGTGACAAGCAGCAACCGGGGACTGTGTTTTTCCCAAACAGATAAGAGAGCTCCCAAAGTGGCCTTCCCCGAGCGTGATTACAGACTTGCAGGAAAGTATGCTAAGTCGTTCTGTAGTTCTGCAGCTGCTGCTGGTCATCTCAGGCTAACAGCATACTCCTCTCCCAGCGGTCAGTACTTGTTTCTTGAACTCACTAATGGCATTTTTTTAAAAAAACAACAAACCACCAAAAACATTCTAAGAAAATTCCCCCTTGAAGCAGCTTCTCAATCTTGTCATCGTTGCATTTCCATTTTCCTTAAGGGAAGCTGTGAGCAGGAGAGGAAGCCATAAGCGTTGCAGCTACTGTTATTGTTGCAAGAACAGCAGCCAAATTTGCTTTGGCTTTGAAAGCTGCAGTCACCTAGCTTTGACCAGTCAGACACATCCGTACTCACCATTACATTCATCAAATTACCAGCACTGCGGTGCAGGGAGTTGTTTCAGCCGTGATGATCCCTTAAGAATCTGAGTTATGCAAAAAAGAGGAAGCTCACAGGTGGGTGAAAGGAAATCACAGCAGTTTTAGAGTTTGATCTCCGTGTACTAGCAATTTCTGGCTGCTGCATACATCTCACCACAAAATAGGAGGACAAGGCCACAGCGCACATGACGTGACAATAGCGCAACGGAGACAAGTCAACCGCAGTACTGAGTGAATACCTCACAAGGACTCTCCAGGGAGGGGAGCAGAGGAAACACTTACTCATAATAAG